ATTATGATGTTTTCTTTTAGACTGTTTTCAGTCTCAAACCAGACCAGATCAGACTTCCATATTTAAAAAATACACGGAGACCAGACGTTTATCAGACCATATCAGACCAATTCAGACAAGAGCAGATCATACCAGATCAGACCAGATCAGACCAGCAAATTTCAGTCCAAAAGAAAACATCCTTACTCCTGAGTGAGTGATGTTTATGTGTTTGATTCCAAAGCGTACGATCGAATCGTGTTTTCTGATTTTTCTTGCTTTTCTCAAAAATATTAAATTTGAATACTCCATTTGTCCCGAATTGAATTGCAAACTTTGACTGGCACAAGAATTAAGGAATGACAATAAATGATGCTTGTTTTTATACTTTTGCCCTTCATCCTAAAAGTAGATGCCTTTAAGTTGATGGAAAAAAGTAAAAATAAGGGTAAATTTGTCACTTTACTCTTATTTACACTAGATTTTCACCCGTGCGATGCACGAGACAAAATTTAATAAAACAATATCATTTTCTTTATTTACTATATTGTATAATGTCGAAGTTTCATAAAAACACAATGTGTAAGTGAAAAAAAATGTAGCATAAGTGGTCTATAAGGTAATATACAATTAAAGTTATAATTACCATGAGCGAAAGTAGTGAATAAAAAAAGAGTGAAAGTGGTGACAATGTTTTGGAAGAAGACACAAACAAAAATTACAAGTGAAAGATCTACCAATTTTGAACCACTTATTTGTAAATAACATTCATAGTATGATTTTTTTTTTTGCATCACAACTCAGTGTCTTTAAACATTTACTTTTGTTATTCTCGACACTGCTATACAAAATTGACCATGAGCGAATTGAATATTGTTTTTCAGCAATAACCTAACATGTGATGATTAACTTGACTATTATTTATAGTCATGGTATGGTATAAGGGGTGTGTTTGGAGAATGGCTTATAGCTAAGTTTTGGCTTGTTTGACTACAATTAATGAGTTTGACCATCCAAATAGCTCAATTGTTTGTTTGGTAAATGGCTGGTTGCTTTAGCTTGTTGAACCCAAACATCTGAAAATGAAAACGCTAGCATGTGCAGCGTTTCGCGTTGGCTGCTCCGTATTTCCCCTCTATGCCCTCCGTAATGGCAGCAGTGCAGCACACCAGTTCACACATGTTATGCTTTATTATGATGTTTCACATCACTACATCAGCCCACGTTTATGCATCATCCTAATGGAGCATTGATTAAACTTGATTTTATTACAAACTAAAAATTTATTTAGTTTTTTTTAATTACAATCAAACTTGATTTTTTAATTCCTATTATTCGAATTAATTTAAAATGTTAATTTTAATTTAATTTATTTTTCATGTAGTTGTATTTATCAATATCTAAAATTTAAATTATTTATACTCTGTAAGTAAATGTAGGTATATTAGTTTTGGAAGCAATAAATACAAATAAAATCAAATACTAATGTCCTTATATGTCTTTTTAAACTCAAACAGTTATTCTTAAACAGCTAATTTATCAAACATTTGTTGACGAAAAGCTAACGTAACCAGCCGACTAAAACAGCTGATACAACCAGCTATTGTCAATCAGCTATTATAACCAGCTAACAGCTATAGCTAATAGCCGATTGCCAAACAAGGCCAAGATGTCATGATGGAAAATTGTCTTTTCTGAAACATCAATGGTATTCTCGCACTCAAAGGTGTTAGGGTTGGGATGTTTTATTTTGGTTTATTTTCAGTCCCAGACCAGATCAGACCAGACCGAACCAGACTTCCTTAGTTATAAAATACACAGAGACCATATGTTTACCAGACCAGACCAGTTCAGACCAGACCACACCAGACCGCAAATTTTAGTCCAAATGAAAAAATCACTTATTATTGGGATCATAATAACTTCATGGCACCATATTCATAGATAATTATTAAATGGCAAAAAACAAATTATTATAGTAATTCAAATTTGTAAATAGGAACAAACATATAAAAACAATTATTATTCTTACGGCAATGTTTATAATACGGAGTATTAAAATTACTGAAATTTTAAAATAAACAACCGATTTACATAACTTAGCTAGCTTTGTATGGATAGCAGAGTTGATTTTGAATCCCAGTGAGATAACTTCTGATTCATGGTATTTCTTTAAACAAAGCACTCTCCAACAGTGGCAGAGCCAGAAATACGGTCCAAGGTGGTCGAGAATCAACTTTATACAAAATGAAAACGGTTGATCATTTCCAAACAATAATGTCCGAGTTGAATATTTTATATGTAGTTTAGATAAATAGACACTCGTAACAATAAAAGAGACTATTTTTGCTCTATTTTTTAGTCATGTCACGTAAGTAATGAGTTAAATATACGCTATTTTTAAAATTTGGGGGGGATCAATATTACTCATCAAATTTTGCTGATTTTACGTTTAGATAGTGCTGATTTTGCAAAAGTCATAACTTTTTACTCGTAATGAGTTACGGGGGCCATAATATATCAAATCGAAGATATTTCAGAGCTTTATGCTCTCAAAATTTAAGCGGGGTCGACTGACCACCCTGACCCCTGACTCCGCCCCTGCTCTCCAAAATAGTGGTGTTGCAAAAGAGTGCTAATGTCATTTTTTGTGTATAAACTAGACATAAAAAGGTTGGATAACAATCCGCTCTTGAATTTGTGCATTCGTCATGGCTTGCTACCCGATGCATTTTTTCCAGGACCGATAAACGATGTTTCATCATTAGGTGTACATAGAGAATAATTATCGATCATTTCCTTTTATATTAAGAGCCCGTTTGGTAGCACGAAAATTGGCTGTTTTGGCTGATTCTGCTGAAATTTATGAAGTTCTTGCTGATTTGGTTGCATTGGCTGATTCTGCTGATTTAAGAAAAAATAATTTTTAAAATATATTTTATTAATAAAATAAAGAAAAATTATATGTAAAAATAGCTAAAATGATCATCTACAGTAACTTCAGTCAATACAATCAGAAAAGTAACTTCAACCTTACTTTTTGTGCTTATGACACAATTCAGCGCGCGAAATTAAAAGTTACGTGTTTGGTGAAAAAGTTGATAATCCGAAAAACATGGTTGTCAAACGGCCTCTAATACGTACTACGTAGTACATAAAGTATATCAAGTTCCTCGCAAAAAAAAGTACTCCATATATCAAGTTACAATCCCAAATAGGTTGACATGTTTTATTGCTCGTGTTTTGAATTTTCGACGTTTTTGTATTGTAGAAAGTAAATGGTGACAATTTTTTAAGGGAAAAAAAATTATGCTTAGGAACCGATAAAAGTAAGAACCGAACCGTTTACTATTGATTTGGTTCCATAACGGTTCTTAAAATTTTAGATAGGAAGCGAACCGATTTGATTAGTTACGTTTTTTGTAATGGTTCCACTAATTTCGTATAAGAACCGAACCGGTCCCAGACCTAATGACTATACACAGTACATATGACTAAATGAGGACTTGTAGTAAGTATTATTATGGCAACAAATCTTTACACTACTGCATATTGTAATTAACTAATTATATAATCGTGTTATAAAAACACGATTATGTAGTGGAAAAAACAAAGTGGAAACTATACATTTATACTTGATATCTCTATATCTCAATATTGGATATATAGTGGAAACTGAAAATATATACGTAGTATGACCTATTTAAATATACAGAGTAATTAATAAGAGTAGGAAAAAGTTACTCCGTATAATTTATTTATCTGAGAACAAAAGATTCTGTTAACCCGTATATTTTACTTTTATTTTGAATTTTCTTCTAAAATAAGTGAACAATTGATAAAAATGTTTTTATTAAAATGAAGGATGTATAATTAATGTTTTTTTGAGTCGTTAGATTAATAGATCAAGATCCAATTTTGGCATCCGTCACCAATATTGGCTTCCCCACCACAGCTCAAACAAACTACTATTTTTAGGTGACAACTCCGATACCCATTTAAAAAATGGAGTACCGTACCTACCATGCATATGATTCGTCCAAATCATTATATGTTTTTTAATTTAGATTTAAATAATTCAACTGCATCATTCTTATTGATTCATTTGGACAAAGGTACGGTACATTTGGAATACCATAAAATCTACACTTTTTTATATTGACATATGCATTTACTGAAAGGTAACTTAATCTTCTCTCTTGGGCAGATAAAAAGTAAGTCGACCTGTCCGTTTCATAGCTGTCTTCTTTGTTTATTTGAGATTGACCGGATTCCTTCTTCGTTGATCTACGATTTTACTTTTGAACAACCAAGAACCTTGAGCTGTGCAAATTGAGCTGACCAACACAAAAAGTTTTGATCCGGTGAACAATGTCCTTCATCTATGTCCAACACGCCACATGTCCTGTGATTGGACAATTTCCTTGTTCTGAAAGTATTTACAATTTCCAGAAGACATTATACGCATATCTCGACATCCAATGCAAATTATTTGACATATAATGGGAATTGGTTTGAATGCTGTAATTGCAAACGTACGGTCATTACCCAAAACTAAATATTCTCTCTAGTCCGTGATCCTCTTACCCGACCCATTTTTGACCCGGGATTTTAGGCGGGAAAATTGTCTCCTTTTCCACCTCTTTTTATATAGAGGTAGAGGTAGATACCTAAAATAGAAAGTGGAAAATCATTTTGGGACAACCAAAATACTTCCTCCGTTCTTTTTTAGTTGCAACGGTCAACATTTCACACTTGCCAACGCACGTCTTTGACCGTAATTATATCTTAATCCCTATTAGTAAAAAAAATTTAAAAATCATATTTTGAAAATTTATAATGAGATGAATTGGACAATGTTTTTTTTAAAAATAATTTGTATAAAATAGTAGCGTAAAATGCAGTCAAAGTAAAAAATAATGTAAAATTATACTCCGTAAGATGTTAGCTATTAAAAAAAACAGAGGATAGTAGAAATTTTTGGAAAACAAATTGGGAGGGAGTATATGGTAGATTGGTAGACGTAGTATCCAGCATATCATTAAAAACCCGCCTTTCCCATGGCTGTACCCCCGTCAATGCAACTATAGACACTCCAGGATAGAAGGAAACGTGTTTGATCCTTCTTCACTTGCCCACGTAAATTTCGCTTCTTTCTCCTTCTCGGTTTCTTTGAAATGCAGATACCGAAAACCCGAACAGATGCAGAACTGAGCACCACAAAAGCGGGGCTTTCACCATCTCCGCCGGAAGCCCCGCCACGCACCGCCACCGCGCGCGTTATCTCCGGTAAACCCCACCATTCACTGTGAATTGTATTTTTGTTGAATCTTTTTTTGGTTACAAGTAGTTTATGCATGATACAACCTTTCATTTGATTTTGGATTCGTTGTCTTATCATCCCAGCTTAATTATGAATTTTTACTCATCCTTTTGAGTTTTGATTGTTCATCCAATTATACTAAATGAGGGAAATGCGATCCCCTGAGACAGCGGCGGAGATAGGGATGGGCTGGAGGGCCAGGCCCGAAAAAATCTCCCTGTATATAGATATATGAAATATATGTTGAATGTTAAGCTTTGGCCTTGCAGACTTGCAATAGAAATATTTAATTCTCTGCCTCCCTTAAAAGATATTTCTGGCTCGGCCATTGCCCGGGAGATACATAAAGCGTGGTTATTACTTATTAAGTTATTATAATACTCATATTTGATAAACATGTCTTTTTTGGCATCTATTCATATACGAAGTATATTATCCGTCCCCAAAAGAGTGTGTTTTTGGAAATAGAAACAATGCTGTTTTTGGGGTGGCAGTAATAAGCATGTTAATGTTGTTATTGTTCATACACATAATGTTGTTATTGTTCATACACATAAACATATTGACCAATGCATTTAGCATCAATACCTAACATTCAAAAGTTTTAGTTCTTTTTTTTTTTTTTAAACCCGGAAGGCAAACCACCTAAGTCGGTGGGGCAAATGCCGGGGAACATTTGCCGGGTTTTATTAAAATAAGAATTGATAACAAAAAGGAGAGGGGGACTATACCAAGACCTCTCCGAGAAGGCATTCCTTCCCAAAATACAAACGACACTGAGAGTGTGAAACAAAAACGCAACGGGGGGGCTAGACCTGACCCGTTGAAAAACAAAAATGGCCATCCATTGTGATGTATATGGTGTTGGTTTTATATGCATAATACGGCTATGGAGTGGCCGAGTATGGTAGTTTTAATAGTTTTATTTCCATATTAATACCCATTTTAATAGTCCCTAAAAGAAGTTCGTAGTTTGACTCGCACATTTTAATTGCTTTTGACTTCCAATATTGCCTTTGTGATATGTGCTCACTGATCAAGAGTAATTAGTGGTGGTTGGATGGGATATTAAATGAGGAATTGAGGATTATAGAGACATAGAGCAAGTCAGAAGAATTTATTTGGGGTCGACCAAATAAGAAAACATGGACATTATTTGGGAATGGGAGGTTTTTATATATGTGTTACATGTGTGTATACATATACTAGTATATCTTTGCGCGCACATGCATTTGTGTTTCAGTTAGAAAAGAAAAATAAAAAAGAACAGGGAGTACTTGTTTTGCTCTATGAGGTTATGTTCATCATCATGAAAGTTTTTTTTTTGAAATTTACAGATTCAATTAATTGTCTCAAATTAGTGAATTAAAACTATGCATTCATGCAAAATAGTTGCTACTTGCTACATGTTGAGTGGTTAATTTCATTATTTAAACTAATTCAAATGTATGCTATTTGTAGGACGAAATGGAGAATTCTAACAGGGCTTCAAGCTTGAGCTATGTCACTGACATAAATGGAAATATACCATCAACATACTCCTACTCTCTTCCAGTGGAGTCAAGAGGGAAGCAGAAGACTGATGAAGGTGTAAGCCACCATCAACGTTGTTTGTCTGAAAGCCTTCTCATGGAAGAGGAACCCTTCTGGATTGAGGATCTTTTGAGCGATCCAGTGGACGTAGTACATAAAGGTCACAGGCGCTCAGCAAGTGATAGCTTTGCATACTTAGGGGCATTTGCAGAGGGGTTGTATGTGAATATGGCACCTGATCTTAAGAGTCTAACCCAATTTTCAAGTGACACAACTTCAATTTCTCCTAATGAGAAGATTCATAAGGTTTGTTGTTAAGCCCTTCCGTTCCTAATAACTGGATTTTATTTATAGAAAAGATAAAACTTGTTCTCAAGTAAGGATCATTTGTTAAATTGTTAGCCATATTGGGTTATTGTGTTCCATCATTTGCAATGGAGCCAAAGACTCACTATGTTTTGGCTTGAGAATATGATGGAATAAAGCAAAATGGCTCACTAAACTGTATGTGCTTCTTTGTTATGAACCAACGGTCAGTCCATGTAATTTTGGACGCGATTTTCACTTTGGGTCATTCGGAAACAGTCTCCCCTGCTTTATTACAGGGGTAAGACTGCGTACATCCGAACCCCTCTTACCCCACCGTAGGTGGGAGCCTTTGCGGCACTGGGGTAATGATAATGATGATCGGGTTATTCTGTAACACAATAACTAAGTTTTGACTTATTTTGTTGAAATTGTTAGCATACTCATATTATTTACGTATGCATGCATACGTACACCTATGTTCCAGCCGGTTTAGTTAATTACTTTATTATTTGTATATTGTTTGATATTATCTCATTGTAAAGTCTTATCTACACACTGTCCACATTCATTGTATAGAGACTTACGGAAGTCAGTACGATAGATTAGCTTAGCAGTTAGTTCCGTAGAGTATCATCCTTGTACAATATTCAACCCTATTTAAAGGGTATTACTTTATGAATAAACTCATGGTGAATCGCTATCTCTTCTAACTTGGTATCAGCAGACCAGAACAATTCCTCTCTCACGAATGTTACTTAACACTTTTCTGCTTAGAAATTTCATTCATTTGAGCTAGATAATCTCATAATCCTGACAAATACCAATCTGTTACTTAATATATGTGTAAAACAACCTTTATTTAAGATCCGAGGGATTATATGGAGATATACATGTCTTGCTCAAACATTTTAACACCTTCTTACTTGATGTACTTTGGACCAACCCCCTTGTTTAGTTGGTGGATTCCGGAGGGAGTGTATTTTTTTTAATTTTTATAGCTATCATTACATTTCTATGGTTGGAAATAAAATGTAGTGAAAAAATATAAAGAAATACAACATTTATGTATTAAGAAATTGCTCAAAATGGGAGAAAAATAGGGAAAAGGTGCTAAACTATGACTAAATATGTTTTCTTCCTAAAGTAAGACTTATTTAGTTCTATTAAAAAATAAAACAATAAAATCTTCCCAAAATAGGAGTAGATGAGTCCCATTTAGGATGAAAACAATAGTAGTCCTATTTGAGGAATTGTGCCACGTTTTACACTTTTACTTCTATCTAGGGAATTTTCTTTGTAAGTATTGAAGTAAACTTATAGTGACTCCCTATTTGGTAATCTAAGACTAACTGATATGCTTATTTGTAACTACACTTACGGGTCGGTGGGTGACTGAAGAAGAGGGATTGTCCTTCCCTTATTTGTCTATGTTCATAGATCAGATGTTCACACAAGGAAGAGGAGTTGGATGAGTGCGAAGATGAGTTCCAACTTCCAAGAAATCTTCTTTATAGGAAGTGGGAAGATGAGTTGGATGAAAGAAAACTACCAAGAATGTTTTTTATTCAAGTCCAACACTTCTTCCAATTAAATTATACTTTAAATAAAGGAATTACAATTGAATTAGTGAATTTAATAAGGAAAGACATTCAAATACAAGATTGAAAATTTCTAATTGATGCTATATTATTAGGCCAATGTTTAAATCCCGTGATTACACTTTCGGGATCACAGTCTGCAAATATCACAAACAGTGATAAATTCATGAAAAAACCCGCCTGCTTCTCCCTCATCAAAATCCCCAACCACATAAGTCCTAGAGGCACTGAAGTCAAGCTTTATACTCTCCAGAGTGGAACAAAACACTTCTAATTAACATACATCATTTCAGGCTTCACATGAATCTACTACTAGAGGGGGATCAATGTCTAGCGGGAAGCATAGAAAAGAGGAATCTACTTCACAAAATGCTGAGAGCTCATCTGAAAAAGCAAACAACCCACAATCAAAATCTTCTATGTCAAAAGCGGAGACAAAACGTGCTAAACAGTATGTATTTTTCTTTGTTTTGTTTTTAATTGTTAGTGTATACTATATGATATTTCCATCATTGCAATGGAGCCAAAGACAAGCTATTTTTTGGCTTGGGAGTATGATGGAATAAAGCAAAATGGCTCACTAAACTGTCTGCGCTTCTTTGTTATGAAGCAGTAGTCAGTCCATGCAACTTTCGACACAATTTTCACTATGGGTCATCCGGAAATAGTCTCTCTGTGCTTTAGCACAGGGGTAAGGCTGTGTACATCCGACCTCCCCTTACCCCACTGTAGGTGGGAGCCTTTGCGGCACTGGGGTAATGATGATGATGATGATGAGGGCATACTATATGATGTGTTCTAATTCTTCCAGTTTTGCTCTGTGTTTAACTTGGTCAAAACGTCAACTCTTGCAATCTTAGGAAAATTCATGTTTCTGTCCGTACTTTTCTTTTTAGTCTGATTAACCTCATGAACATTGTCCAGGGATACGTACACACCGAAAAAATGCAACACAACATATGAAGTTTTTACCTACTGCTCAGTTGGTCTATACATATTAGCATAACGCCCCAAGTGTTTATAAACATAGTCTGGTATAGACTATAGAGTAATCTAATAATTTTGAAAGTTAACATTCGTTTAGTAGACCGGTTTTCTCTAAGCACATTTCTTTTGTACGTATCATCTTCTTGGTTAGGGTGTTACGACTTTCAACTAGATGTCATCCTTTCATTCATTTCCCCACTTTCTCCCATTAAATACTAAAATGTTGCAACGATACTACCAATACATTTGCATTTTGGTTGTAGAGATAAATAAGGAAAAAAGAGGTCAGATAAATAAAAGTGACACGTACAAGTATTTATTTAGTGTTCTATAGAAAGAAGTGGGAGAGAGAGAATAAGTTTTGCTTTTAGAGAAAAGTTTGCCGTCAACATTTAGAACAACCAATTAGGGTGTTGCTCTATGACCGAGAGGTCACAAATTTAAGTCTTGAGAGTGACCTTTTGTCAAAAATGACGAAGGAAGGCGTTCCATTTATGCACTCTTTTGACGGGACTTCCTCTGGACCCTTTACCTTGCGGGTTGCTAACATGCAACAGTCTGCCCGTTTAAATCGCATCCTTCTTTCATATCAAGTTTTCTTCCCACATGTGGAGAGAAGCAGGTGGGGATTTTTCAACCAATTATTAAATTTAAGGAGCACAACATATCTGCCCTAGATTAATGGCTACCATCTTAGGCACATATTTTCCAAGCATGACAATAATTTGCTCTTGTTCCAGGCAATCTGCACATAGGTCAAGGGTTCGAAAGCTTCAGCACATATCTGAACTTGAAAGAACAGTCCACGCATTGCAGGTAACTCAGCTTCAAAGTTTGTTTCTGCATTTTATTTAAAATTTGACACTTTTTGTCCCACAGTTGTTAGGCCTTTCCTACTATTAGTCTCATGACTTTCATATTTTCCTTTTTGGTGAATGACTAACTGACTATGGATTCCTTGCACTGCTTGTTCCTTCTGACCATTTATCCGTCCAATTTCATTATAATTTCCATAGACTAAGAAACAAAAAGGACTAGAAGTGGCAAGAAAGTTGTATTGGTATATACCAAAACTCGAAAAAAGTAAGGCAGTGACCAAGAACGTGAATGACCTTGTGGAAAATTGAAAAGTTTTTTTTTATGAAGTTGCTCTAAATATGAGTAAGAACACAGTGATATTCTAAGATAGGCCCCTGAACAAGAGTATATTATTGTCATGTTTGGAAAATATGCATAAATACTATCATATTAATGTCTAGTAATGACAAAATATGACAATATGATTTCAAGATGCAAGTAATTTAGCTTTATAGAAAAAATATAGTACTCATTTTGGAATATCACATTGTTTTTACTCGTACTTCGGGAAACTTCCATTGTTTTTACTCCTGTTTCGTAAAATTTATTTTTCTTTTTAACTCGAGTTTGGTGAATGATGATAGTTTTGACCTTTTTGCCTCTTTGTTGTTCTTTTCCTCACAATTTATGGGTGATCCCAGGTAGAAGAATCTGTGGTATCAGCTGAGCTTGAGTTCATTGACCAGCACAACCTCATACTGAGCATGGAAAATAGAGCCCTCATGCAAAGACTGGACAGCTTATCACAGGAGTTTTTCATAAAACACATGGAACAAGAAATGTTAGAGCGCGAGCTTGTAAGACTACAAACTCTCCATCAGCTACAGCTGCACCACCACTCAAACCACCTGCATAGCAGAAGTAGGGATCTTCTTGAAGGGCAGTTTACCAACCTCTCCTTGAGTAACAATGCTGTCAGTTCCAGCCGGATTGGTCCAACCAACCGTTCAGTCTGGATCCAATAACACATCAGTCTCCCCATAGCTTTGTATGGTTTGTTTTTTGGCCCAACTTCATCCTGCCTTGGTGATAGGCCCTAGTCTTCTTAGGCCATTTACTTCTCTTTTTCGAGGACCAATTGGAAAGCTAAAAGAAAGCCTTTAGGTATTCTTTTGGAAGTTTTATCTTTTAATTTAGGAGGGGAAATGAACACATTGGCTCTTTAAAATCAGTTCGGACTTTCATATTTCAACTGTCCAAAATTTTCAATTTGAAAACAAACTCATTTAACTAATGGACTAGCAAAAAAAATGACTGCCATTCCTACATCTCCTAGTTGTCTGTTTGCACAAGTAATTCGTTCAAAAGCTGTTTTGTAAATAGACAATTGCTAAGGAGTGTACATCATATGTGTACAAATTGTACGTACACCAAGCATTGCTCGTTTATTTACACAACAACTTCCATGTCAGATGAATTTTGGCAACGTAGTAACCCGTTGGATGGTAAATAATGGTCAACTTCATGCCATCATCAAATATCCATATTAGACAGATACGTAATTAAAGTCCTAGTAAATCTTGTCATTATTCTTATAAGTTTGATCTCATGAGTCATGATCTAGTGTGCCAGTGTGGGCAAAACTGCCTTTGTATCTTTTTTTCTGTCTGAAACTTCAACCTGTGGAAGGGAATAAGCAAGGGAACTCTCATAAGAAAAATGCGTCTTCATAGAAGGGCTTTTTCCGTAGTATTAATAGTTACGTACTAATAATTTATTTTATAATTGATAAGTGATCAGTTAATTTCATCCATAAGGATATAATATTTCTTGGCAAAATTAAACATATACCTGAACATATACGTAATTGTTGGGTTAAGGGCCCAAGCCGAGGTCCGGCCCACTAACCCTTCCTTCACCAGACGTACGTCCAGTCAGACCACAAGGCCAGCCCGCAGGCCCACATTCCTTGGGGAGGGACGAACGTCTGGGATTGGGAGCTCAGTCCCAGCGGATGACAACGAACGTCCCCATGGCGAGTCTATAGTCATCCGAGGAAATCCAGTCCACATGGAGAGAATCCACAAGGTCAGGGGACGAACAGCCGAAGTCTCCTGAAGGTCACTTGGAGTGACCCAACTCACCCCTGGCGGACGAACGTCCCCATTATTTAGGCGGGAAGCCTAGATTCTGGCGGGAAGTGCATTTAATGCAGAAGATTTGGTGGTTGGGACACAAGCGGTCCGCAGGCCTCCACGTCAGCATAGCCACCTGCCCATTGGCGGGTATAAATAGAAGCATTTATTTCATTGTAAAGGGTTGGCAACTTTCTATTCTTAGCACTAGATATAGCATTCTTACTCACAGCACTTCTACTGCCTTGTGAGACGAACGGCCGACGGAGCCTTAGCGAAAGTATTGTATTAGGGAGTTATTAAGAGATAATAATACCTAATCACTTACTTGCTACCTTATTGTTTCTTGACCCTTATCACCTGCTTGTTGGGCTAGTTATTCGCACGCACTCCGCTCGAAACCTTTAGGCTTACGTGTTGGGCCTGAAGGTTGAAGGAATAAACCTCAACACTGGCGCCGTCTGTGGGAATCTGTCCAAAAAGATTCGTGTGTTCTACTGTTCTTGAGTTTTCTACAAAAATTCATACGAAAATGGACTGATTCCAGCAAAAAAGAAGGAAAAATCTGAGAAAATGGGATCTGGAATTCCCCAGATCTGTTCTGGAGGTTGCCAGAGCCGCCGCCACCGTTCCCGCCGCCGTGGAACCTCCGGTGGGTGTACCTGCACTGGACGAAGCTCGCTGTAGCACCCCAGATCTTGCCATCCCAGTTTCTAGTAAAAACTCCGTCGCAACACGGTCACCTGGTCAATCTCTGCTCGAGCTTCCACGGGCCACTCTGCCGACGCGACCTGAGATAGCTGCTGGCTGAGAGCTTGATTTCCGCCATTAACGGTGGTGTGGAGCTCAGGGAAGGTATGCCACGATCCTATGAAGTCCGGCTGGCTTTCCAACGGAGACTATCCTCTCTGGCCGCCCTTGCTCCGCTGCAACCGCCATTCTCACCGGTGGAAGTGGCCGGCACGCGTGACCTGCTCTTCTAAAAGAGACCCCGTATATTATTGCTACGGACCTTAGAGCACCACGTCTGCGAGACTAAGGCCAAGTAAAAGGCTAATTTCTTTGGATAACTTTGACCAAAAGCAAAATGGGGGAATTCCACTAAGCCAAGGCTTGGACGTACGTCAAAGGACTTAGGAGTGGTCGGATAAGTGAAGCTTTTGGCTAATTGGCTCTTGGGCAACGTGGTGGAGATTTTGGTCAAGTCAAAGCAAAGGAGGAATCAAAATATTTTCAGAATTGCTAACTGGCCGAACATCTACCCCAAAGCTAAGTACCTACACCTTTAAATTGGTACACTTAATTGTTAATAGTTTAAACTATTAGTAATGATAGTATTTTTATCACCATTATTTAGTAGGGAGCAAATACCCCGAAACTAAATAATGTCGAGCAAAAGCTCAGATGAGTAAAGCTCTAGTGATATGAATTTCACCGTCATTGGATGACTGGTTGTTGTGGGTCCATTGGGCCGCTCCTAATCGGCTTTAATTAGCGATCGGAGCATATCTGAGTGACCTATGATAGAATAGCCTCAGTGCTATTGCATGCCATATCACTATTATTTATTAGGGATAAAATGTCCCGAATTAAATAATGTGGAGCGAAGCTCTAGTGATGGTTGGTTCGGCCAACATTTTATTGAGTATTTAATTTCTTGTGGGCCCGATTGGCCCACTCTCGATCGGTTTTGATTAGCGATCTGAGCGTCTCCTGTAGGGCGATGCCCCGACGACGCATTTTAATTTGAGGGATGCACGTTAGTCCGCACGGCACTACGTGCCCGATTGACGATCGTACCCCAGTATCATCTACGCCGTTAGGCGCGAAGTGACTATTGCCGAACGTGGCCTATGGGGCCCGAGGGCACCAAAGCACTCAACCTCGTTTTTCCGAGGGCAGTGCGACCAACTTGGGTCTGAGTTTGAAAACTCACAGACCGATGAATATCTCTATGTGACGTTCGGCGGGCTGCTAATTGGCCCCGCCGCGAGCTGCTACGTCCATTAACCCTGCACGATGAGCCGGGCCAAGGGTCACGATGACCCATAGGACGGTAATCGTGGGTGTTAGAGAGAAGGCCATGCAGATGGTTATGTGTGCATATTTATTGTCGGGCCGTGCGGCCCGTTATCATGCTTATTGCGCAGCTGAAGCCACTCGACGCGCTCGAGCGAAATGATGAAAAGACGCTTGGCCCGAACCTTGAAGACGTTCAGGGCCAGCTGAAGTAGAGACCATCACGGCTGAGAGCCGATGACGAGCACCTCCACCCAGAGGTCGAGGGCCTAGAGGAGACCACCACGGTTGAGAACCGTGGGACGAGCATCTCCACCCCAGAGACCGATGGCCTAGGAAGAACACCTAGAAGCCGAGGGTCTAGAGGCGAATGCCATGACAGAGAACCGTGAGACGATCATCCATCATTCAGAGGCCGAGGGCCTAGAGGAGACCATCACGGCCGAGGGCCGTGAGACCATCCTTACATCAGGTCGGCCTCCCATTGCCGACACTATGATATCACGACCGGCCTCTCGGCACGGCGTGTGTTCCATACTTGAAGACCGGCCTCGACCCCGCTCCTCGCGGATGAGAGCCGTTGCTTGATTCTTTCCGGTCGGCCTCTCATTGCCGACACCATTATACCACGACCGGCCTCTCGGCTCGGCGTGCTTATCTTTTGAAGACCGGCCTCGTCCCCGCTCCTCGCGGATGAGAGCCGTTGCTTGATTCTTTCCGGTCGGCCTCTCATTGCCGACACCATTATACCACGACCGGCCTCTCGGCTCGGCGTGCTTATCTTTTGAAGACCGGCCTCGACCCCGCCCTCGCGGATGAGAGCCGTTGCTTGATTCTTTCCGGTCGGCCTCTCATTGCCGACACCATTATACCACGACCGGCCTCTCGGCTCGGCGTGCTTATCTTTTGAAGACCGGCCTCGACCCCGCCCTCGCGGACGAGGACCGTTGCTTGATTTTCTCAGGTCGGCCTCTCATTGCCGACACCATTAAACCACGACCGGCCTCTCGGTTCGGCGTGCTTATCTTTTGAAGACCGGCCTCGTCCCCCGCCCTCGCGGACGAGGACCGTTGCTTGATTTTCTCAGATCGGCCTCTCATTGCCGACACTGTCATATCATGTTCGGCCCCCCCGGCCCGACGTGCTTGTCTTTTGAAGACCGGCCTCGTCCCCGCCACCTCGCGGACGAGGACCGTTGTTTGATTCTTTCAGGTCGGCCTTTCACTGCCGACACTATCATATTATGTTCGGCCTCTCGGCACGACATATTTATCTTTTGAAGACCGGTTTCATCCCCGCGCTGCGTTGGATGAGAGCTGTTGCTCGGACATATCGGCCTAACCAGACACTATTGCCATCTCCATTATCAGGACCGACTGCTCAGCGACATTATGATCATTGTATATCGGCTCCCAATGCCGACCTTCTTGAGTTAGCGATCGGGCTCACCCCTCCCTTCAGGAGGGTGACCATCGCCTTCGCATGACGACCAGCATTTCCATCGCCTCGTCATTTTATTCGTGTTGGTATCCCACCACCATTACGTGTGACATCACTGGTGGTCATTCTTGGAAACCGACGAACATATTTTCCTCCCTCAAAAAAAAAAAAAAGAAAAAAAAAAGAGAAAAAAAAAAAACAAGAACAAAAAAAAAAAAGATGGGGAGAAGGGGAGACGAGATCCTATGAGAGAGGGAGTCTTGACGAGGTATGCCTGATCTTCCTTCGCCGCGTATGACGAACGTCTCCCGACGCGGAGGTTAGTAGGAACGTGGGGGAGGCTAGACGTACAAAAGGGAACCTCGGCAGGATAAACCAGTTCCTCCCATTTCCCGTGGATCGATGAACACCTTCTGCCAAAGCAGAAGGCTAGTAGGGCCACGAGCATGGGACGACAAAGCAGGGAATCCCGACGTGGATAAACCAGTGACCTCCTTGCGATCGTTGGATGACCGAACGTCTTCTTCGAAGTAAGAAGATTAGTAGGACCACGACAGGGACGAACGAAGAATAGGGAATCCCGACGTGGATAAACCTGTTCCTCCTTGCGATCGTTGGATGACCAAACGTCTTCTTCGAAGTAAGAAGATTAGTAGGA